AAAATAGGGGGTTTTGTACATGGGAAATAAATAAATAAATAAATAAATAAACGCTGTTTCAGATTTTTGGAGCTGGGAATTGTCCCCTCTCCAGGGGGGCGCGGTGCCTGGTGGGACAGAGCAGCACTGGGGGTGCAAGGGTGGGTTTTTTCCCCTTTTGGAGGAAGCTGTATCCTCTGGGATCCATCCAAGATTCCTCCTGGGGTTTTACCCCTCTGCTTTAGGCACGTGTGATCCCTGTAGCAGCCCCGGACTGTTCCAGGGAAGCTTCCTGAGATTGTTTTTCCTTTGGAGGATTGATCCTGCAGGATCAGTCCGAGATTCCTTCCAGGGCATCTCCCAAGGTCTTTTCACCCATATCTCAGGTTCCAGGATCTCGGGCAGCATCCTCAGACTCCTCCCAGGAAGCTGCCCGAGATGATTTTCTGTCTTTTGGAGGAGGCTGTATCCTTTGGGATCCATCCAAGGTTCCTTTCAGGACACCTCCCAGGGTCTTTTCACCCATATTTCAACTTCCATGATCCCAGCTGGCAGCCCCAGACTCCTCCAGCGAAGCTTCCTGAGATGATTTTTCTCCCTTGGAGGACAATTTATCCTCCGGGATCCACCCGGAGCCTTTTCCCTCCCGCTTTAGGACCTCGAGACCCCCGGGTCACATCCCCAAACTTCCCAGGAAGCCGGGGGGTGGGTGCTGGGCTGCCGGGATCCTGCAGTAGCCGCGTCCCCCACGGCGTGGCAGCAGCAGCCCTGACCCTGCCGGGTGTCCCCGTGTCCCCGGCCTGACATCCATCCCTCCGGGATTGTCCCCACGGCCTTGCCCACCCCTCCCCTTCTCCCTGCCGGCTCTCCCACATCCCACCCGGGGGGTCCCAACCCCTTCCCAGGGGGGGTGTGTTGTCCCTGCCTGGGTGGGCACGAGTGGGTCGGGCAGGGTGGCACAAGGTGACTCGCGTGGCCTCCCCTGCCCCCGGGCGCCCACCTGTCCCCCGGTGCCCCGTCCCTGGCACCAATCCCCTCGCTCCCAATCCCTCCTGCCCTCACCCCTCGGGTCAGCCTGTATTTTTAGCCCTTGGCTGCTTTCAGGGGGGTCTTCCCAGGGCAGGGAGAGCGTCTGTCCCGGGCTGGAGCCCCTCCAGGGCGGGCTCCGAGGGGCGTCCCGGGGCAGGCAGGGGTGTTGGAGCAGCTTAGGTGGAGGTGGCTGGATTAGCCCCGTAAAACTGCCCGGGAGACGATTACTTAAAGCAGCGGAGAAGGAAGGCTGGGTGGGGACAGCAAGGGCCAGGGGGCTGCCTGTAATCCCCCTAAAGCCGCTTAGGGAGCGCGGTTCCTCCAAGGATACAGCCCAGGGAGGCTGCTGGGGCGACCTGGGGGTCAAGGGGTGGGGGTGGGGGTGTCTCCCAGCTTGGGGGACCCCAGGGTGGGCAGTGAGGGGGTGGCAGTGGTGTTGGAGCCCCAGCATTCCATCCCCGGGGTGGGGAGGGATCGGTGATTCCCAGCTTGGGGAAACTGAGGCACGACACCCTCCCTTTCCCCACCTCCCAAGGAGTGTTCCTGGGAAGGGAACTGGCAGTTTTGGCCGCCCTGCTTTGGCAGGTCCGTGTGTTCCCCCGGGGGCTGGAACACAAGGAGGGGACGGGAGGCGGGCGGGGCCGAGGCGGCCCCCGCGGGTGCCAGCGCTGATCCCAGCTGTGTCAGCGCACGGGCCTGTGCCAGGCTGCAGTCAGCAGAGCCCTAATCCCCTCCCGGCTCGCCTGGCACCGCCCCAGCACAGCAGTTTAAGCGCCTGACCTGAGCTCGCCCGCTGCCACAGTCCCCTCCAGGGAGGGGGTGCCAAGCTGAGCCCTGGCTGCCACCGCTGTGGGGACCCCCCACCCCGTCCCACCCTGTTCATGCCCACTGGGGAGGGGCTGAGGTGTTGCAGGAGGTCACATAATCCCCATGAAGTGGGGCTGGGGTGTTGCAGGAGGTCACATAATCCTGGGGGGCTCCTGGGCTGCATCCCCAGCAGGTTCAGGGAGGGGATTCTCCCCCTCTGCTCTGCTCTGGTGAGACCCCGCCTGCAGCTCGGGGGGTCTCCAACATCACAAGGACGTGGAGCTGTTGGAGCGAGTCCAGAGGAGGCCACGGAGACGCTCTGAGGGCTGGAGCCCCTCTGCTCTGGAGCCAGGCTGGGAGAGCTGGGGGGGTTCACCTGGAGAAGAGAAGGATCCAGGGAGACCTGAGAGCCCCTTGCAGGGCCTAAAGGGGATCCAGGAGAGCTGGAGAGGGACAAGGGAGAGTGCCAGGATGAGGGTGAATGGCTCCCTGCCTGCATCCCTGGGAGCTGGCAGGGACCGGGTGACCCAGAGCTGCTCCCTCTCCCAGCTGACAGGGACACGGCTGGTGCTCCAGGGAACTGTGATGCCAACCCCGGGACCGGCACTGCCCATTCCCGGAGGGCAGCAGCCTCATGATCCGGTGCCTTGGCACTGCCGAAGGTCAGTGCCCGTGGGTGCCATGGCCAGACACTGCGGGGGTGTCACCTTGGCCCTGCTCCCTCCCCCGGCGCTGCTGGGTCAGGTTAAGTGGGTTCATTACTCATTAATGGGATTTACCCTCCAGACCTCCCCTGGGGGCCACTGGGTGCTGGGGGTGCCACCCCCAGAGCCCCCCTGCACCCACCACCCCTCAACATCCTCCTCACCACCCCCCTCCCCCGCTGAGGTTTTGGGGAGCCCACTGAGCCCCCCAAAACCCACAGTGGTGGCACTGAGTGACCCCTCCACGCTCCTGCAGCCCCCCCCTCTCCCTGCCCCATTCCCAGCTCGTTGTACCCCCCAGGGGGGGCTGCTGTCCCTCTGGGGAGGGGTGTGTGGGATGCTGATGCCATCCCTGGGGCTGCCCTCATCCCCCTTAAACCAGCTGTTGGGGGGTCCCCGGCAGAGCAGCACCCTCCCACAGGCTGGGGGAGGGTCTGGACCCCCCCCGATGCTCGCGGGGGCCCCCCCCCAGCCGTGCCCCCCCCCCTTCTCGGTGCCCGCTGCCTGAGTCAGCTGTTCCGGGCGGGAGCCATGTGAGGCCGCGCACACATGGCTCCCCGCGCGGCACCGCGCTGTATTTTTAGCAGACGGTATCAAAAGCATAATTATGTCTGTTGTTTAAACGCAGCCTCTTTTCTGGCAGGCCCCGGGAGCTCTCAGCTGCCTCCCGCCGCCGCCGCAGAGGGCAGGGAGGCGGGATGTGGAGCTGCAGGCAGCGGGATGCCCGCGGGCGGGGGGAGGCTCGGGGAAGGGGGGGGATGGCGCTGAGACCCTCCTTCTCCCCGCGGTGCCGGGCAGGTAAGACCTTCCTCCCTCATTATTGGGAGGGGGGGGTCAGCCAGCACCTCTTGCACCCCCACATCGTGTCCTCAAGCGCGCACATGCCCCCAGGCTGCCGGCGAACCGCTGGTGAGGGTGAGGAGGAGGAGGATGGCGAGGAAGAGGATGGCGGGGTGGGGAGAGCGGCGGTGGCAGGAGGGGTCGGGGAAAGGGCGTTCGAGGTGACGGGAGTGTGGGAGGACACGGCTGAAGGAAGGCTGCTGCATCCCCTCTCTCCTCTCCCGCAGCCGCCTGTCCCCCCGGGGACCCGTCTGTCCCCAGCCAGCCCGCGCTGGCACCGAGCGAGGTTCCGGCTCCGTGTCCCTGCCGTGACACCGGAGGCTTAGGGCAGGGGGGGGTTTGGGGACCACAATCCCCCAAGCTCGGGGGGGGGGCCGGGCAGCACCCTCAGAGTGTGCTGGGGACCCCTCTCTGGGCACCGAGGGGAAACTGAGGCACAGCAGCCCAGGGCACCGAGAGAAACTGGGGCACAGCATCACCGGGCACTGAGGGAAACTGAGGCACGGAATCGCTGGGAAATAGGGAAAACTGAGGCACAGCATTACTGGGAACCAGGGAAAACTGAGGCACAGCATTACTGGGAACCAGGGAAAACTGGGGCACAGCATCACCGGGCACTGAGGGAAACTGAGGCACAGAATCACCAGGAACCAGGGAAAACTGAGGCACAGCATCACTAGGAAACAGGGAAAACTGAGGCACAGCATCCCAGGGCACCGAGGGAAACCGAGTTCCAGCCTCGCCAGCCTGCCCAGCACTCCCGGCTCTCCTTTCCCAGCCCCAGGAGTGGTGCCACCTCGACACCTGCCTGTCACCGGCGCCGGGGCCACCGGAGGGGCCCGTGCTGAGGGTAGGAGCCCCCGGCTGCTGCCAGGTCCGTGCCGCCGGGAGCGCGGGCAGCTGCCAGCCCTGCCTGTGCCGCACGCAGGTGGCAGCGGGCTGCCCGTGTCCCTGGCTGCCGTCCTAAGCCCTTGGCCCCGGGGTGAGCTTTTAATTACATCAAGGTATTTTGAAGCTGGTTCCTGGCACTGGGTAAACAGGAGTCCCGGGCACGTGGGGGGGGGGGGGAGAGGGGGGGGGGGGGGGGGGGGCACCGGAGGGGCCCCGGGCCCCCCCCGGGGGGGCCGGCGGGGGGGCGCGCCCCGCCTGTCCGCCCCCGGGGGTGGGAAGGAAGGGATGCGGGCAAGGCAGAATCCAGCAGCATCCGCCGCCGCCGCCGGGTCCTGCGTCCCCCCCGGCGCCCCCGCGCTGGCACACGGGCATGGGGGGCACCGGCAAAGGTGGGTGGCTGCGGCATCATCCCCGCGGGTCCCCTCTGACCGGGAGGAGCTGCTCCGTCTCCTCGCTGCATCCCAACCTTCACCCGCGGGGGCGACCTGGG